AAAAGATGTTTGCGTGGCAATTACCGACCGAATCTACTTTTTAATTTTAATTTAATAATAAATATATTATTGAATATATTATTGAAACTCGCTGAAAAGGTGATATTAAACAAATAATATTTCTTCTATTAATGCTAGTAAACATTGCCTAAAAATTGCAAATAGCTAATGTCCGCTTCGATCGAATTAGTATATGGTACTAACCCGGCTAATTTTACAGCGGAAACATTCCATATCGACGTCTGTTTGGTGTTCGTTCAGCAATCGCGCTCAGATTTCTCAGTAGACCTCACAACCAAAAGCATTTACGCTGTGAATGACGAAAACCAAACGCGGAGACCAGAGCTAATTCTAAACGCTCTAAACGTTGATCAAAGCGAAACACATTAAATTTTTGCAACGTATGGAAAATGTACGAATATAACAAAATTAAGGTTTAGATAAAAATAACTTAAATGAATTAAATATCTAACAATCTTTTAAAATTAAATTAAAAATTATTTTAAAATGTATTTTATATCTCTGGTTTTACTTAATTTTAGTAGCATATATTATCGAATTTACGCAATATTGCATTTATCTATAAATATTATCTAATTATTTAAAAGTCAGAATCTCATGATTATTAGACCGTAGTTAAATTTTATTAATCTCATTGTTCGATCTCCGTTTCGTTGTGGCAAAAGATAGAAAAAAAAAATACGTTTGCATTGCATCCGAGCTTTATTTATATGAATTCCTGCTGTTCACCTATATTCGAGAGTTGTAGTTGATTATTCTTTCATGAGCCTGGGGCATAGAGGCAGGGCTACACGGCTATAAGGTTTCGTGATAGCGCAAGACAAAAATAGCGTGTGCTCTGATCGATCGTTGCACTTATCAGTTGGCACAGAACATTGTTTAGAAAGAAGCCGTTAACCCGTCACCTATATTCAGTTTATTATGCACAAGCTTTGCTACACCTTATCAGTCTTCCGTCTGCGATATCTGTCTGTCTACCGCTTTCTGATCCAAGAGAATTCAAAACTTCTAGAACTTTTAATATTTTATATATATTACATTGTAAAGATAAAAAATATCTCATCTATGTATTTTGCAATAAACATACACGTACGATTAATTCATGGAAGACTCGATTGAAAAAATTCTTTAAATCTCGAAGAATTTTGTCATTATATATATCTCACATTTTTAAGAAAATATAAATTAATTTGTTGACAATAAAGTAACTTTATTGTATATTTTAAAAATATAACTATATTATATTACGTATATTTCCATGTTGGAGAAAAAATTGACCAGGACATTTCTCAAGATTACAAAGTCAATAACGAAATTATAAGCTCAAAAGCTAATAAAGATTTCAGACACTGTTGATGAATCTCAATTAAAACAGGTTCTGTCTTCCCAGAACAAACTATTTATGTCTCTGTTAGTGCGTAAATATTTTCGAGAAAGATCCCAATCGTTCGGTCACAGTTATCCGAAGAATTTCCGTCTTGGCTAAGATTTCCTTTGAAACTTGTAGGTTTTATAGCCGCCTTTGTAGCAAACAATCTCTACCTAGTTATACTTCAGAAATGGAAACTTTGTAGGGAGTTCGAAAGTGGAAAAGATGAGACTGACGATGGTAAAAGAAAGAAGCATCTACTATATTTGATAAAATGAAACAAGGAACATATATCTGATTCTGTTCATCGCACAAACATGTAAATGCGTTTATATTTAGGGGAACAACAATATTCTACAAATATAATTATATAGTAAATAGAAAAAATATCTAAAATTACTATTAAAATATTTTAAATTTCCTATCTTTTGATTCAAAAATATTGACTACTCTGACTTGTTACAACATGCTAAATGTATTTAAATGTATTTTCTTAATCATTTTATTCATATTTATACAAATCAAGCACAAGACAAAAGAGCGCTCAAAAAAAAATATTAATTACGTTTCGTGCCAGTCTAGTTGGAAATTTCTAATAGTGGAAAGCGCAATACCGCGGGCAGAAACCGCGAGAGAAACAAGAGGAAGCTATCCTGTGCGTTCCTGCACTCTTTTTGTTTTTCTTATTCATTCTCAAGGCAGTCATTAACGGCCATCTACCTGCTCTACGACTCTATGAACTCGGGATTTCCTCGTCCTTTTCCGCCGTGGTGAAATGAGCTGTACGCACTCTATTACTATGTACGCGTTCACTACATTTTTAATAGTTTACCTCATCGAATCACGCGCAAATTTTTTCGCGAACAAATCAATAAAAAAATAATAAAATCAACAGAAAGAGCTTGAAAAGTCAGAACGTAAAGTCAACACCCCTACTTTTGATATTAATTACCTGCGATCGAATGGATAGGAGCAATAAATTCACGACTAAAGCAATAAATTAGCATTTAATTGTAGCATATAGTAGAGCGCTCTTTTTTAGGGATGCTAGGTTCGTAGAGGTATTACAAGCATCAATTAAATAAATCATCATGTTCTTAAATGTTCAGTAATAATTATTAATATTATTAACGCTAATTGTCAACAATGAATTTTCAATTATATTATATTAAAAAAAAAACATAAAACTTGCATTTTTCTTCTACGAGATGTTCCTGCCCAATATCATATTTTTACATTTTCCTCTACGAAGTAAAATCTGTTGTGCCAGTAATCTACAGTTACTCCTGCCCGATATCGTACCCCAGGAAAAGAAGTCACGCTTCGGGGGAGATCGCCCCGAGAGCGATCGCATCAACACACGTTTCTTTAACGAGGATAATTTCGGGGTGGCGCGACATCGCGATCTGCCGCGCTGTCTGCGTTTCGCTCTGATTCTACTCGCGTGCAATTTCGTACGGGCACATGCATACATATATACATACACATACTCACACGCACGCGTACGCGAAGGTGAATTTTTGCGCCTCTCTCCGTGAGAAGAAACGCTCGCACACGGTAAGACACTGATATATCTTGTCGGGGGCACCGCGCGCCGCTGCCGATCCCCCGTACGTTGGATACGAGATCCACCTGTGTATATTCGAGTGCGTACACGGATGGGGCACGCATGGATGACTGGGAACCCATTCCATCCCGGCGCGTGAGGACGATCTTGATCGCGGATGTCGACGACGTGAGATCGTACAAGGAGAAACGGAAAACACCCGCGAACGGCCTCGATTCGCGTAAATAGCTTCCCTTGATCCCGCGGGAAGAATTCTCTTTGAACGAGAGATTCCTCGGGGTATCCCCTGTTAGATCCTATTACACGTGAGTCCCATCGCTTCCTGTGTAATTACCGGATCGCTATTATACATGCATTCGTGCAAAGTTCACAGGCTGTTGCAGAATGAAATTTTTTGCATATTGAATCGATTATTTTTCGAGTTGTTTATTAGCGCTTAAGACACATAAGTTTCTTAAACATATGGATCCATATTCAGAATGTGCTAGTAACGATATCAGAGCACTAAAATGATACAGTTTACGTTATGTGTACTATAGACTTTCAGAAGTAGAAACGCACATTTATCAATAAAAACGAGTATTCTAAATACGGATCGTAGATTTTTAAACCGCTGAATATTAGAAAATTGTTCGATACACGAATTTGAAAAAGATTTCTTTGCACTTTAGATTGTTAAGCACTTGAATCTTCAAATCAAGAACAGTAAAATAAATTCTAGCTAATTTTGCAGTCAGTTTTCTGTTTTATTTTTTTATATTTATAGCTCTCAATATTAAATATCATTAAAATTATCAATAAATTTTTTAATCACAATACAAAAAAAGAAATAAAAATAAAACACATTATTGCGCGGCATTCTTCGATTCGTACGAAATTGCGCGGTTTGCATAATTTCGCACGGATACTGAAAATAATATTTAAGTGACAGCAGCAACCTTCCTGAGTGAAAAGACACTCCTGTTTCGTCTTTCCTTTTTCGTATTACGGTTATTAGCTAAGATATCGGCGCTACTTGCGATGCGCCGAGTCAAGACCACAAACCATTTATTACGCGTCTTAAGTAGGATTACGAAGAGACCGGATGCTGTACCCTTTTACCAGCGCATAAAGGAGCGAAATTTTCCTCAATGCAACGTGTTTCGACACCGGCACGTAGCGGCGCCAATAAAAACTTTAACAGAGATTGCGTTAAGGCCGAGACACATCGATCGTAGCGATCGTCATACTCCAAAATTAGTAGTAAAAAAAAGCACGACGGATGATAATTTTTACATTTTTTCTTAAGAGCTGTATTTTCAAAATCAATTATTGTTGTAAGTAAACAAAGATTATTAAATTGTCAAGTTTGACCATTTCTTTATGGTTAATTATATTAATTATATTATTAATATATTGATATCACGCAAATAATTAATAAACAATTAATATATACATAAAATATAAATGGAGACATCTTGATTTTGCAATCTGCAATTTTCTATATATTGTACTATATAGAATACAAGTGTGAACCGGTCTTTAAATCGTAACGTCGCGTCATGATGGGCTCAGAGGTCACAACAGAGCGACGATGGGACGTTATGGGACCGGCCGATCGTCCCGAATCGGTCGCCATTGAATATGCAGAGAATATCGTCTTCTTACCACGTTAATTAATTGCAGATCTCGGATTGCTCGCACGGAGTTACGCGGTTGCCCCTCCCCCATTAAAGCTTAAAAATAATTGAACTGGATTCCAACGTGTCAAGGCTGGCGCATCGGCCTCGTATCGGTCCTTTTCATGTCGTCCATTAGTCATCGGACCGCTAGTCTCGCGATAAACCCGTCAACAACCAAAATCCTTTCTGAGCTTTATTAAAATCTCTTTATTGCGCAATTTTGAAATATCAAAAAGAAATACCAAAAATTTCGAGGTATCAGATCACAATGATAAGAGAGTAATAGGAAAAGAAAGCGATAATTCTAATCTAAAATAAATTTAGCGAAATTTGTCTCGAGACACGAATATCGAAAAAAAGGAAAGAATTACGATCGACTTACCGGTGACCCCGATACGAGGTCTTGACGAGTTTCACCGCGAAAAGGAACTGAATGGCGCAGACCAGCAGGCAACAGAGATTGAGGGACAGGGCGAGGGCACACAGCGCCAGGGTGACCTCGTAGACGATCACGAACTCTTCCGGGCTGATAAGGCTGTTAGACGTGACCGTGAGCGGCGAGATCTTCAGTAGGAAGATGACCGAAAGCAGAGCTAAAAGTAGGGATACCAGACAGAGCAGTCCAAGGCTCGTCAGCATCTCCTTCACGCCGGCCTCGTCACTCCGATGGAGATTCCTGGACAGGGACGAGGACCAAGAGGCATTGAGGGGTATCACCGTCGGTCCACCGGCCACTTGGCTGGCCACGACAGGAAGCGCAGATGTGGCAGGCGCGGGTGACGGCGTAGTTTGGCTCGGCAGCCGCGACAGCCTGGAGATGTCGAATCCGCCGTTCGCTTTAGGCCTGTCCTGATGCGAGACACTCGTCTGCGAGATTATGGTGTGGCCCAACTGATTTGCCGAGACGTTATGATTATTATTATTGTTGTTACCGCCACCATTGTTGCCGTTGATTCCGCCGACCGGACTGACGCTGTTAACCGAGTGCTTGGAGGTTGACAGAGTCGATATGTTGAGCGCGTGCGAATGATTCAGGCGTTGCGACAAATTATTGACGCTCAACTGAGAGTGGTTCAGCGGATGTCGATGTGTCGACGAGGGAGTCGTCGCCGATTGATGCGCGTTCGACACCGCCGGCCTCGCCACGGAATCATACACGTCGATCCCGCCGTTGTTACCGCGATGCCCGGTGACGCCGCCGCGTGTCCCGGTGCTTCCGGTGTAGTGGTGGTGATGAAGATGCTGCTGCTGCTGCGGTTGTTGTTGCTGCGGCTGCGGCTGTTGCTGCTGCTGCGGATCCTGGTGCAGCGAGCTGTTGTGCAAATGATGATGGTGGTGCCCGCCGTGCAACGAGCCCGAGCTCGTCTGATAATCATTGTGATGATGCCTGGAGCCCGTTGACGACGGCTGCCCCGTCAGGATGTGTTTCAGCATTACTCGACACGCTGGTGTCACGCGGAGTGAGGCTTCTTCTCTTTCTTCCTGATACGGTGATTCTCACATGGCGACCTCGTGACGGAATAGAGTACTGAATTGCACCGAATCCACCGTGTCATAGCACGTAGATGTTAACTTGAAACCTTCCTCAAATTAGATTCCTCATATTAGAGAACGTCACTTCTTTCTTTACGTTTTTTTACGTTTTTTTACGTTCTTTATGTTATTTCACGATGAAATTAATCGTTTATCAAGTTTTTAATTGTAAGTCACATAGCACATAACATATCAAATGTAACACATCAATCTAGATTCTTCGTGTTAAAACAATATCACTTCTTTCTTCGTCACACTGCACGAATGTTCCGCAATGATTAAATTTCTAAATTTCCAAGCTACACTAAGTCCATCGCGAATTAATATGCAATTCATCGATTTCAAACTTCAAGCTAATTTCATTTCTATCACTCTAAAATTCTCATAGTAAAATAAATCGTTTTTTTAAATTCTTTAGGTCTTCTTTATTCTAAATACGTAAAGGCACGTCATTTTCCGGTTTTCTAGCTGAAGCTATCTCTCATTCGTCCCGATTGCAATTAATTCCCTAAACATAGAAGGAATATATATGGGGCTTGTTTGACGTTACGTTCCCGGACTCAGCGAATTGCTGCACACCAGTTGCTCCACCATGGCGACGGCATCCATCAGACGGCGGCGGCTCTCACATATCGGGTTCACAGCGTGGAACTATAATGACAACGAGCGAAACGGGTTCGCTAAGGGCATGATCGGGTCGATCGGGGCCTCTCGCTGTTTCTCTCTCTCTCTCTCTCTCTCTCTCTCTCTCTCTCTCTTTCCTTATCAATAACGACGCAATCGATCGATCGATGCGTTAAGGTGGCTGCAAGCACGTTTTTCTACCACCGTCTTCTCGTCGGGTACGCACGAGCTCGTCAGCCGGCATGGCTTCCGAGATGGTGCCGGCGGTGCCTCTGGAACAGGTCGGAGAAAATAATTAATGGACTGACTGTTCACTCTCCGCTGTCGGTCGGAATAGTCCGACCGTAAAAAGAAGGATAGATACGGGGTATAATCTGCCCGACGCGGCCAACGAAGGAAACGAACTTCTCTCTCTCTCTCTCTCTCTCTCTCCCCTCCCTTTCTCCCTTGGTAATATTTAAACTTTGCACAAGCCGAAATATGCGATTAGTCATACGCATACGACTAAAAGCATTAACTGAATGGAAATTGTAAAACGGTTTGTTATATGTTATAGGAGCACAAGAAGTAAAGTTGGTAACAAATCTCTCAAAGTGAACAAGAGAAGAGAATAGCTTCATTTTAACGGACTGTTGCAGGACGATTGCATCGTGACAAAGCGTTTTAAAGCGCGACCGTTTCTACTAACACAGAATGTAACGTGAAAAGATTCCGGAATCGAAATTATCGTCGCGGTTTTTGCGTTTCTTAATCAAAGCGTAAAAGCTTCTCGGTGCTCGTTTTGTAATTTTATCTTCTTCACGATTCTCAGCAACCATAGGTGCGTCTTTTCAAGATGTAACTTTCTTTATTTCTAGAATATTTTTTCTTTGCAATTTATTAGATGTGAATATCTCCAAAAACTCCTTCTATCGTAAAAAAAATATTTGTTACAGACGAAATTCTGCACGTTCTTCCGTTTAGATCTCAAACGAAACGTGCTCAGCGAACGGTCTATGCCATCGAGGATTAGGAGCCCTGAGGACGTAGCGGCGTAATTAGAAAGATCGCGCGATGGTACGCGTAACACTTAGCGGGCAGACGATGACCTTTAACGGCGCGCTCATGGAAAAGTCGCGTCGCGAAGTGGCATGCGGTTGAGAGGCGTATATCTGATCGCGACGCGAAGAATCCAAAGACAAATTGCCCGCAACTGCGCGAGATAAGCGAATCGCGAGGGAAAACTTGGTCGATCTAGTGGTGTCCAGCTTGATTCGCGTGGAACAATCATCGTCGATACTTCATTTACGGCCGTGTGTTCGCGTTATTATCACTTTCTACGACCGTACGTACACAGCCTCTCCTGGAGAAAGAGGAGGGAGCAGGAGCTCGTTGTTCATACATTTCCTCTCACTCGGCACGAGCGGGTCACGCGAGCTCGTCTCTCTTCGCTTACTCATAACGGCATGCATATAGAGTCATCTAGAATATAATTGCAATTTGAATTTCTCCCGTAAATTTTGAGAGATATTCTTTTAATTCTTTTAATTAAAGTACATCACCTTGCAGAAATAATGCCTTAAATTATTGTATCAAAGGCAGGACAATTAAATATAATAAATAATTCTGATAAATTTCAGTAAATAATTTAAAATGACGTTCAAAACAAGAGTTTTATATTGATAAGATTTTAATTTGAAGTTCTGAATCGTCACATTTCGTTACGTATTAAAATAAACGAATCCAAGAAAGGTGAATATTAATGTGGAAAAAAAAACTTTATTGTCATGTCAATCCTTTTCATGCAATGCAGCGATTAAATGGTCGGTATGTATACTTTATTGAACATGCTATTACTGAGAGTCACGAAGGGACTGTCATTCCGGATCGATGAACTCGATTGTAACTCGGCACCGCAACGCCTACATGTCGTAAAAACATGTTTACGGGTGGTTTTTATTTCCATTTTACTCGTATAAAAAATGTTTTGGTATTTCCTATGTCACGCCTCTTCGAGACAACTTCGAAATATTTGGAGAGCAGAATAATTGTTTTCTGAAACGCGAATGTGAAGGAAGCACGATCGATTTGCTTGCTTCCCGCAGCTTTTCGCAATACCGTTACCTCCGGGCTCCGTTTACAGTCTATATATTTTTCGCGATGTTAAACCTGCGTCGCGTTTCGGTCATTCCGCCGAAAGATCGACGCTATGTTTTCAAATCGAGAAGATTACGCACATTAACTGCGAAAACGGCTTAAAAGCTGCATATTCATTCGTATGTATTATCTTATTTTACGAGGCTTCAAAAATACTACGTAGAAGGAACTATCGAGCCGGCATACGAGCCAGCACAGATCCAGGTCGCTGCTAAAGAATGTAAATAAACGAGAAGTCCAGAATACATCGTTAACACAACTTAAAGCGCGCATGTAAAATAACACGAATCTCTCGTGTTCGTTCAAACATTTTTTTTTTATTTTTAACATCAGTCACATTTTTACGAAATAACAAAATTGACATATGATATAAAAATATTTTTCGACGAATTTTCCGCAGCTTTCTACATTGCTGCGTTATCTTGAGATAATCTATTTGAAGGCTTTCTTCACTTTGTTCTAACTCAAGTATAACTAAATACATGACAATTAGTTGTTTCACTCTCTCCCGGTGCTCAGGTATATGTAGAATGTAAAAGGCAAAATGCGTTCTATCCTAGATATAAAAAAAAACATCTCTATCCGTATGTATAAAATCAACGTTATTCGTCGTTCATGAACCAATTACACGTTAAACGTGGTCCTACGTGCATCTCGTCGTCACGGTACCCTGAGTCCTTATCGAAAGCAATCTTCGTGGCGTAACATGATTCGATCCCGCAAATTCCTCTCCTCTCTCTCTCTCTCTTATCCTTTGCCGCCGCACGATACGCTGGATCGCGTGCTACGATCCAGAACCGCAAGATCGGTTATCGTGGGCCGCGGGCACCTCTGTCTCTTTCTCTCGCTCTCTCTTTCTCTTTCCGTTGTCAATAGTCAAGCTTGACTCATAGAAACGGGTTCCGCTCGCATTCCGGACGTCCAGCCTGCCGTTCACAGCAGAAAGCGCATCGCCGCATCGATATCTGCGCGCGTGATGAGCAAGATTCCGGTAAAACGCGGTTTACGAGGAACGCTCGCAATATCTATCAAATTTTGATAAAAGATTCTGAAGAATTACAAGAGAATACAAAACAATATGTTTAGATTTTTACTCTTTTTCAATTCCGCTAAAATTCAAATTTTTACATGGTGTTACTTTAACATCCTTAAATTTGTCTATCTCTTAGTTCCTTCTTAATGCAATAAGCCAAATTTCTAAGAGTCCTTTTAGATAATTTTTTCAACAGAACAAGCCAATATAAACAAATTCCGAAAAGCGATTATAATTTCGCTCAATTATTTTTTCTACCCCTATTGATAAAATTTATTTAATTTTTGCAGCAACTCTTATCTTTTATATCTTTTATCTTTTTAATCAAAAACATATTCTATTATTATTCTTGCGTGCAGAGCAGCAATAGTTGTCACATTAATCGACGTGTCAATTAGTGATGAATTGATTACTTGTCCGCCGAAGTATTAATCGGCTGACACGTCGAGATAATCGGTAAAGACATTCGTTGTTCGCGATTGTAAAGTGAAAACGACGTACGAACTCTAACCGCAAGAATAGTTAGACTAATACGAGGTGTATTTAGAGACGTCCGACTCGTGGGTTGCGCGCTTATTTGCGGCCGCGTGATTTGCATGGAAATAGAGAGAGAAGCGCGGTTTGAGGAAGTCGCTTATTAGCGGCAACCAGGATATTATCGGCACGATGCCATTGACATCATTATCGTCATTCCCATCGTTTCGCTCGGATAGTGAAAATCTCTAATCAGGATGGACGATGGTTATATCGCATCGCATAGATTACTTGCATTATTCTGCATTTGATTATTTTTCAACTTCTGAAAGGATTGTAGAAGGAGGATCACTTATAAGAATTATTATAATAATTCCATGTATAAGAGAATATATGCATGCATGGAAATAATGTATAGAAATATATTTTCTTTCATAATACAGAATGTTTCCTATATATAAAAAGATAGGGATTAATTATATTAACTCCGTATATTCGTTTCCTTTGCAGACTTCTCGAGATATTGTTTCAGCGTTCACGGCGCGGTCAGCGAAATTACGGGATTACGAGCGCGTGTGAGGTTTCCCCGGCTACGCAACCGAAGTCCTATGCCGTTCCTATCCAATTTCACGACTTTGTCGTCTTCCATCGCGGTCACGATTTCGTTTTTTCCCTCTTTTTATTTCCTGTGGCGTTCGCGGCCGACGACCAGCTCTCCTGGTCGTATTGCGTCCTGCAGATCCGTGATCGAGATAAATAAATCCCTCGAGATAAATAAAGGGACGAATGTATACGCATACTCCTATTCCCATTTAATGTACGTTCAAACTATAGCACTGCTTTAATTGCACCGCAATTTTGCGTGCAAAGTTTGCGGACCATTTCCAAACTTCCATCATCAATTAATTGATACAATCAAATCTGTTTCCTGAACGATCTCGATACTCATTCCAATTAAGAATTTAATTCTTTAGATGAATATTCATAGTGCTTTCAATTTGACTCGAAAGCGAATTATGATCGAATGCGTATACATTCGCGTTTGCAAATTACGTCCAAATTATTTCAAACTACTCTCAATATAATTAACAAATGTTTTTTTTTTTTTAAAGATTGATGGTGTATTTGTTTAAGTTCTATCTTTTTACATCCAATTTACGTCTTTATGGAAATATGGAATATACACAGACTATCCAGTACATCATGCGAATAAAAGACTCGCGGAGTCACATTAATGATCTCTAGCACACAGCGGTGATTCCCGGAAGGCGCGTCGCCATAATGATATAACGCAATCCACGAGGTGACGTCTAATATTTCTGATTGGAGAACGGATGGAATCTGGCCTTTACAGACAGGTTCCTTTGAGAACATCTAATGACCATGTATCTCGTACGGGCAGAGTGCTTAAGTTACCGACGCGCGCACAAGAGAGAGAAGGAAAGAAAGAGAGAGAGAGAGAGAGAGAGAGAGAAAAGAGAGAGAAGGGGTACCATAAAATACGCTCGTAACGCGCCATCGTTCCCGAAATTTATTTCCGTTGTCCTTTAAAGGTAGATCGCCAAACCTGTTGGAATCGTGAGCGCGTTACGAGAACGATTCTTGCCTCGAAAAACCAAAAACAAGATC